GATGTAATTACTGACCATAGTTCTGATGGTGACAAAGTAATCACATATATATTTTTATTATTATTCAGAGGGAGTCCGCATTCCTTAACTTACTATCCGGAATCAAAGGGGGAGATAAAGAAAAACGCTTGTCTTCACAGTTTATATCTCGCTTTTTTAAGGATTTTAAGCCGCATCAGGAGTCTAGCTTCAATTGCCTCCTTGATTTGTGTGATGATCAGAATGTCGATATCAGGAAGCAGGCTGTTCATGATTTACGAGTCATTTGTAAATACGAACCCTCCTTCGTTACACGTGTATCTAATATTTTAGCGCAAATGCTTCAGACAGACGATCACTCAGTAAGCTTTGTATTTGATTTAGCCTTTAGGAAATGAGCGTTGTGGCCCTCAGCCTTTCGCATCTACTTCATCAAGACCCCAGATCCACCCTAGAGGGAATCTTCGGCTACTTGCTATCAGATAACATCGACCAGAACAGAACCATTATCATAAAATACTTAGCAGATCGTCTTAAAACCCTTTCTGATGCCCAGGTCATTCCTGCTCTAGAGGAATTCGTTTCTGAACAGACGAATGCTTTGCTCCTCACTGCATCAGATTCGGAATTTATTCCCACTATTTCGCTCCTCGCTTCTCTTCGATCCTTTTCGAATGTCACGGGAAGACAGCGTCTAGTTGATACTATCTCTGAGCATGTCCGCCGAGCTGCTCCTAATTTATTGGTAATATCTTCTATTATAATTGCGTTAAGTCGAATAGTTTGTCTTCTTGTGAATATCTTATTGAGTGTGCCTCCAAAGTGGCTAGCTTAGTATCAGTAAGTTCTACTCATTATCATTTCTATATTCATATTGGTTTGTCAAGGCCCTCGCTTAACCTAGCTATTTTTATTCCAGCGGAATGTTCATGCTGGGGATTTTTATGATTATCTTATGGATTACATCATACCAGAATTGGTGAAGCTGTGCTCCCTCGCTTCTTTTGATTGCCTTAGACTTGTGAGGTTAATTGCACAACTTGCTCAACACCCTCCCCCTATTCAAAAAGATAAAGTTTCCGATATTCCTGGTCCTCCGAATGCCTTAATTAGGACTCGCCTGCTAAATGCTTTTTCCCTCGTCGAGGTTTTTTTGCCAGCTTTGCCCCTCGATAATGAGTTGGAAAAAACAACTCAGGTACTTACATTTAAAAAATCTGCCTTTAAACTAATTTCTCAGCTCTTTACCTGATTTCTAACAGTCTTTAATGTGTCTTAGTCTGTTACAGGGCATAACCAGGTGAACCCGGATCTGCAAATCTCTGAGTTAGAAGCCATATTATTCATCGTTCGGGAGTTAGGTCGGCCGCTCTCTTCGCTTCCAGTTTCAGAAATCGGTAAAGACTTCGAGAATCTTTTAAAGACAACCCGACCGAGATTGCAGTATTTAGCTCGGAAAGTTCAAGAGAGGATAAACAAAACGTCTGGCTACGTGAACGATGAAGGCGGATCCAAACATGATCGCGATTCCAAGGCTGCTGTGATGGA